AAAATTGGCGTACCCATTGCAATATAGAATTGCGTGAAGGTGAAGCTTTTCCAAAAATCAGCCCTATTCGTCTTCTCGTCACTGATTTGTGTGCCTTTTCCCGAGTGGTAAACATATTCAAACCAATTTGAAAATCTTTGAAAAATGGAAAAATATAGAAAACTAATTATTGGGACTGCCCAACGAACAACGTTTACAAGATTTGTCAGTAGTTGAAGGTTACAAAACAAATAATGTGATTCACGGCCTCCTTGACATGCTAAAGTTGTTATTGTTCTTACTTGATACCGATAATGTTATTTAATAGGTAATATGTACAGCTAATAAAAAAAAACTGATACGATCATTTGAGTACTTTTTTGAAAATTTGGGCAGTCTATCTCGCCACCGTGTGCCGTCGTCATGCAAACTTCATTGTTTCATTTTTTCCAAGACTGTCACTGTCAAATTGAAAAAACACATAACACACCTTGTTTTGTTAAAATTTTATGTCAGCCTGATGATATACACTGCTTAAAATAAAAAATAATTTCTTTAAGTCGTATCAGTTTGTTTTAAAATTAGGTGTACATTGAATTTTTCAATAATCATTAATTAATGAAGGGAAACTTTCAAAAAGGGGTCATTTGCTAAAATTGGCTCCGGACAAAAAAAAATGAACGCAATGAAAAACAATTTACGCATTTTCAGGAAGGAGAGTTGATAAGCTTTCATGTAAAATTACAAAGTACAGGGTGTTCCATTTGAAATTTTTGCGAAATCTGCCTCTGAAAATCATCAATTTTTTTCCTTCTATTTCGGGTAAATTTTGAAACTTGGCAACACTATCAAGAAAAACTTTATAAAAATTGATGAAGTTCTGTGAAAACCGCATATCGATATCTTGTTTCGTTCTCGACTTATAAGCAGGTAAAATGTGTCAGTTTATAGATGGACACCCTGTATTATCCCAAACGTGCCGGGAATATGGCAAATTATGAAATTTTTTGACGCAGATACATCAATGCAACCAAGAATGAAAAATATTTTGCAAGATTTTAGTCAGATTAATAAATAAATTAATAAATAAAAACTAAAAATTTAAACGAAAAATCACGTGATTGAAAACGCTCTCTGATTGGCTAAAGCCGATTTTGACGTTTTTGTTGCCACATGTAGAAATGCAAAATTTAAATGAGTTAATAAGGATTATACCTATCCTTTATTTTTTTATAATGTAGTAAAGGACGAAAATAGTTTCTAGCTAGTGAAATATGTAATGATTTACTAACAAGAAATTTGGCTTCCTCGCATTTTTGTTGATTTTCTGGTTTGTGACGTCACAAACCAAGTTCGCGTTTTCGCGCCAGTTTGAAAATTCGATTTTTAAATTTATTTTATTTTATTTTATTTATTTTATTTTATTTTATTTATTTTCTTTATTTTATTTATTTATTTATTTATTCAATTCTTTACAAACACCATATAGAAAAAAAGTAATTATATGCAAAGAATAGACACTAGGGTCTCAAAAAAAATACTTAACAAACTAGAACTAGATTAAAAATTATTAAAAAACAAAAGGTAAAAAAGGACATGATGTACATATAAAATATATCACACTAATTTATCACAAACAACATAATTGACCAGGTGTGTATAAAATCAATTCATAACTCATTTAACATTTAACACTTATATAATTAACAAGTGAACAGTAACCTGATTTCTTTGGCATTAGTTTTAAATATATCAAAATCTTTAGACTCTGACAAAGCATTACAATTTGCCAGCATATTATTTAGTGGAGATATACTTCCCTGAGTTACAAAGAATGTTTTTTTATTAAGGATTCTTAGATTAGGTTTAGGAACATTGAATTTAATGAAATTAATAATCTTGCAATAATTATAGTTTAAGTCATTTACAATAAAAAATACAAACAAAACTGCATTTTGATTCCTTCTATCAAATAGAGTTGTATAACTAAAACCCTCGAGCATACTCCTATATGAAAGCATGTAAGGATAAGTACCATTTTCCCTGTAAAAGAGATACCTCAAAAATCGCTTTTGCACCCTTTCGATAAAATCAATATTAGAAGCTGCCGTTGGGCTCCAAATATTTGAGGCATACTCTATGTGAGGCCTAACCAGTGAGTTATAAAGCAACTTTATGGTTGAAGTGTTAAAATTTCCAGAGTTACGAGTAACAAATCCCAGACACTTATATGCTTTTCCAGTGGCGTAGCTAAAATGGTCATTAAATTTAAGATTTGGTGAAAAAAGTACCCCTAAATTTTTAACATTGTATTTTCTGTCAAGTGTTTTGTTCTCTATTTCATAATCATATACAACATAATTGATTTTCCTTGTATATGTCATTACATTGCATTTGTCTATGTTGAGGTACATACCGTTTTCATAAAGCCAATTTGATACCGCATCAATGTCAGACTGCAACTGAGCACAATCAGATTCATTTGATATATTCAATTGTTTTGAAAATCTTTAAATCATCAGCATAAAGAAGTCCTGTTGACTCTTTTAAAACATTGGTCACGCCATTTATATGCAATAAAAAAAGCCAGGGACCAAGGTTGCTGCCCTGTGGTACGCCGGATGTGCTGATGTATTCTTTAGAGAAATATTTACCAATTTTAACTTTTTGTGGCCGCTGTAATAAGTATGACTTGATAAATGTATATGCCCTTTGGGAAAAACCCAAATTGACAAGCTTATGCAATAGAATTTCATGGCTCACCTTATCAAAGGCTTTTGAGCAATCAGTATAAATAACATCTAGTTGTTTACCACTTTCGATTGCCATGGAAGCATACTCGGAAAAAACACACAGGTTTGTAGTAGTCGAGCGTCCCTTAAGAAATCCATGCTGAAAATTTGTGATTTCTGGTTGTACCAATTTGTTAATTTGATCGTATGATATCAACTCAAACAATTTTGCTAGTGTATTAATTAAACTTATGGGTCGATAATTATTGACATCACTGATTTTACCTTTTTTAAAAATTGGTACTACAACTGCAGTTTTTAGTTCTTCTGGAAACTTATTGCAATTTATGGCCAAATTAAATAAGAAAGATAACGGTTGTGCAAGCTGTTCAGCATACCCTTTAAATATATAGCTAGGAATACCATCTACACCTGTGGATCTTTTTGGTTTAAGCAGCTTTATGCCTTCTTTCACTAAACTTTCAGAGATGCATTCAAATTCGAAATTGCCCCAATTCAGATTATCTAGTGAATGCATAGAACCATTTTCATACACCGATTTAAAATAATTTGCAAAGGCTTCAGCAATATCCTCTGGATCATTAAAGATGGCGTTTTCATATGTAACTTCTTCCGGTACTACATTCTGACCTCTCTTACTGCGAACAAATGACCAGAATCTACTAGGATCATTTATTAAGTTGCTTTCTACACTTTTTTGGTACTCAGCATATCCCTTTTTCACATCTTTTTTAATTTGCTTCCTAAGGTGAAGGTACTCATTAAATTTTTCATTACTAACTTTATTTTTCTTAACTAGTTTATGCAAATGATTCTTACGCTTAATTTTTTTGACTAGCCTATAGGAACACCATAAAGGATACTTACATTTTATATCACAGTTCTCAGAAACAGCATATTTTGGTACCGCCATATCCAGGCATGAATACATTACATCATAAAAAGCTCTCAAACATTCATCGACATCTGTGCATTGAAAAACAGGCATCCAATCACAGACCGACATTAAGTGATATAGTTCCAGGAAATTTGCCTTTGGAAAATCATACAAGTGCGTTTTCCTGTGACCCTTTTGCGCTTTGTGCTTTTTTAAAAACAAAGAAAAAGTGAGAGATGGATGATACGAATCCTCACCTACTAATGGGTAGCCCGTTTTATGAATTGGGGAGAGCAACATGTTTGAGGAAACCAAATCTAAAATCCTATTAATACAATTTGGTACTGAGTTTACCTGGTCTAGATTATACATTTTTAAAAACAAATTCAAGGCATTACCTTTATCACAGTTAGAGTTATCATTTTTAATAAAATTTGGCAAGTTGAAATCTCCCAATATTAGTATTTTTGACTCAGATACCTACATTTAAAAACTCGAAACAATTAAAATACTTTTCATATTGATCTAAAGGTGTGTTTGGTACAAAATATACGACAGAAACATAAAAAACATTAGTTTTGTACTTAACTTTCACCAGGATCCCTTCTACATCACAGTCTATGTTAATTTGTTCAAAAACCAAATGTTTTTTCAGTGCAAGCAAGACTCCTCCTCCTCTAGACTTTTGAGAGTTACGATCTCTTCTAATAATATTATATCGAGAGTCGAACAGTTCCTGACTACCAAAGTTCTCATTTAACCAAGTTTCTGTTAAAGAAATAATATCATAATCCTCTGATAAGGTACTGGTGTAAAAATCGTGAGTTTTCGTACGAAGGCCTCGTACATTTTGGTAGTAAACAACTAGTTCAATACAATTTGAAATGCTTCCATCTTCAGTATTGGAGACTTTTTCTAACAAAACACTTGGACTTTTTACACTGCTGATACTATTAACAACAAAATTAGTTTGAAGGTTATTTATGACGCCTGAGGATCCAGCTATTGCTCCTTGGTTGGCATCCTCCTCTTGAAAAAAAATTTAGAAACCACAGCGCCTACTGGCCATATTTCTTTACGCCAAGCTTTACATAAACTATCTTGCCAAATTGTTACCTTAAAGGAACTGTACAAATCCGGTTGCCTTGAGATATGGCTTTCACATTTGACCTCTGGAAAAGAGGTTGCCAAAAGATTTCTAAGGGTTTCAGGTTTTGTGTCCTTATGCAATCGTGTTACATGTAATGCAACTGTTTTTTGAACTGTCTTCACTTCAGATGCAGCTTCGTTGTTGTTTCCAACTACAAAACGTCTTTTTCTTTGTGGTTTTTTAACATCCTGCCAGTCACCTACGTAATGGTGGTGATCCTCGGAATTGATATTATCATCACTCATTTTTTGAATTTCGGCAATTTTTGTCTTTGAGCCTCCATAATTGCCACTCCAACTGATCTTTGTGTGAAAATTTGCTGGGTCGCGTTATTATTAGCAACATTTTTATTTTTATCAGCATTACGAGATGGATCATGCGAATTTTGTTTTTGTTTACTATTATTATAATTAATTCCACCAGGGTTATCAAATTTCCCACTGTTGGTAGCACTGGAATTTGCTAATCCGTCAGCTGATAACGAGGTCATATCAGCCTGCGAACCGACCAGCGTGGGAATTTGCGGAGTTGCCAGTTGACTCGTTTTTTCCCTGGTTTCCAAAATAGCAAGTTTTTCGTTCAAAGAAATAATTTTTTCTTTCAATAAAACATTATTTTCATTGAGTAACTCAAACTTACTTTCCATTTCCTTAATAATGCGAAGCAGCAGTTTATATTCTGAACCTCAGCAGGAGATTCGTTTTCAGTTTCGGGTGTCTTAACCTCACTTGTAGAGGCCTGACTTGTTGATCTAGCCTCATGTACACATACGCTATTTTTCAGCTTTGCAGATTGTGTAAGGCAGCTGGGATGAAAGCTATCATCACATTTCACACATTTTATAACATTTGTAACTTCTTTTTTACAATATTTACAAAAACTTTTAGAACCACTAAAATTTTGCTGCACATCGTTGGCCATGTTGCCGGCTCGATGCAAGACAATTTTATTTCAAAAAATGTTTACAATGTTTGAGCATTTAATTTATATATGATTACATTATTATTTAATTGTCCTTACATTACTAGTAAATATATCCACCTAGATGCTGTAGCATCTGTATGTGCAATGAACAAAAAAAAAAAATCAAAAAAACCTACAGTAGGTACCCAACAAAATCAAAAACCCAAAAGCCAAAAGGCATCAAATAAATCAATGGAGCCAAGGCAAACTCCCAAAACTGAGCTGAGGATTATCATTTTAAACTATAAAACTGGCAGAGGCGTTACCCAGTTCCATGATCTCAAAATTCTGTATAATATACAGCCTACTTTTTTTCCTAAACAGCTTAAGGTTATTAATATTGCGAATATGAAGAGGCAACATATTATAATATTTAGGAGCCAAATAATTTATAAATTTGAGATTAATATTCTTGTAGCTTTTAGGTATTAATAAATTTTGTTTTACATTTGATCGAGTTGAATATGAATGGCCAGCAAAGCTCTTGAAATGTTCTGTCCTATAACAGTATAAACACACCAACTCTATATATAAACAGTCTATACTAGTTACTACAAATAATAGGTGTGATGGAAAATTCCTTTTTTTATTATACGTAACTTTAAGAATGTACTTTTGTACCACATTCAACATTATTTTGTTTGACTTATAAGCCCCTCCCCATACAATCAATCCATACCTTAAAAGTGATTCTACCAATGCTTTGTAAATCATTACTAGCAATTTGGTGGTTAAAAAGCTCTCAGCGAGTAGAACTTGTAAACTAATTTACGAATTCTTTTTGTTAAGTATTCTATGTGATCAATCCATTTAAGGAACTGATCTATAACTATGCCTAGATATTTGGTTTTGGAAACTGAGAAAATCTCCAATGATGAATCATTTATAGAAATACTATCATAACTCGGTCTGCCGGTCTTGGTCAAAGTGAAAGCCATATAATTAGTCTTTTTTATATTCAAAGATAATTTTAAAAAATCCAACCAATATTTTATAAGCAAAAAATCTTTTTTTACCATCTCTTTAACCTGGTCCCAGGTAGATCCTGTAAACCAGATAGCAGTATCATCAGCATACGATATTATTTTTCCATCAATATTTACATTCAATAAGGAATTTATATATGTAATAAATAAGATAGGCCCCAAGATGGTACCTTGGGGCACACCCATTTGAATTTTTTGTGGGTTACTCAGAGTATTATTTATTTTTAAATACTGATCCCTATTGGATAAATAACTTTTAAAGACGTCCAACACGGCACCCCGTATTCCATAATGTTCCAAAACACTAAGAAGGCCATCATGGGGTACCGTGTCAAAAGCCTTCGCTAAGTCAATAAATACAGCAATGACCCTTTGACCAATATTCAGGTTGTTCGTTATTTCAGATGTGAGAGCATACATAGCGTCAGCAGTGCTAACACCCTCTCTAAAACAAAATTGATTTTGGGAAAGAATATTGTTCATTTTTAAAAATGCCACAAGTCTGTCTTTAAGACATTTCTCCAGGATTTTTGCAAAGTTATTGATAAGGCTAATCGGTCGAAAATTTTCGATTTTATGTTTTTCTCCAGCTTTGTATATTGGACAAACAATAGATTGTTTAAAATAGGTGGGAACTGCGCTAGTGCTAAAAATAAGATTAATGATATGTGTTAGGGGTCTAACTATTTCTGAGTGAGTAAATTTGATTAGTTTGGCACTTATGCCATCCTTGCCAGGAGCACAACCATTTTTTGAAGAAGAAATCTGCTCAATAATTTCATTCTCAGTGACAGGTCTCAGATACATAGAATTGCTAACTTTACTTTGCAGTGTCAGATGAATAGGGGGGGTTTCAATTTTTTTTTCCATTTCTTCACCAATATTGATAAAGTAATTGTTGCAGAAATTAGCCATATATACATTATCTTTAAACTCTTGCTTATTTGCTTTGAGAATTTTGAGATCAGACAATTCTTTATTATTTTTCACATTTGTCGCATCATCTATAATTTTGTAAATTTTTTTCATGTTATTTCTATTATTTTCAATTTGACTCCTATAATATTCAAGCTTACGCTTCTTAATAAGTTTGTTTAAGAAATTCCTGTATATTTTATATTCATTTTCTAATTGAATGGTATAGTTTTTAAGTAGTCTCTTTTTAAGTTTATCTCTATATCGAATAGATTTAATTAAACCAGAGGTTATCCAGTCTTTAATTTTTCTTGGTTTATTTTTTGAAGAACGTTTAGAAGTGCATCGGTTTAAAGTTTCAGTATAGATGTTGAGAAAATAGTCACTTGCTGTTTCAGCGTTATTTGACTCCAATACGTTGTGCCAATTCATGTTTGATAATTCATTTTTAAATTTTTTATAGTCTATGTGGTCATAAAATATTTGCCTGTTTTCCTTCATTGTGGTACGCCCCGCAACCAAGCTGCCTATATTTAGCATTACGGGAAGATGGTCTGTTATATCTGTGTTAATTATAAAAGATTTGGAATCCAAACCCATTACTTTTTTTAATTTTTTTCTCACAAAAATATGGTCTAGGCATGACATTATTCTTGTGGGTGAATTAATATGGGAAACAAAACCATGTCGCCCCATAAGTGAAAGATATTCATTTGTTGTGTTTGAATGATCATTCCTTATATTTATATTTATGTCGCCTGTGAAAATTTCAATATCAGTGTTTATGTTCGCCTCAAAATAAATTTCCAAATCACTGACAAAGTTTGTCTCATTTATTGTTGGTGACTTATAAACGGCTGAAATGCCAAAAGAAGTATCTTCAATTTTTAGAATTATTCTGCTTACCTTTATTTTGGTGCTTTGTAATTGTGAATGTGTTATTTGTGAGTTTAGGTGAGATTTAATAAATATCAAAACTCCATCGTTTCTGTTGATACTGCCATCATTGTAATAGGTCGAATACCCTGGAATGTTAAATGTGTCTGTCGATAATAATTGAAAAGATTCACTTAAAATTATAACGTCACAATAGTGCAGATCAAACTGTTCAATAAAAAGGAGTAAAGAATCAAAAAATTTTATTACACTTCTAATATTAAGGTGTATCAAGTTTAATATTTTATTTCCTATCATGATATTTTGATGCAATAAGCCCTCATCCACCAGTAATCCGTCCAGGTCTCCATCCAATGACTCTAACTGATTAAGAATATTTTCCTCTTGTGAGTTGAAAATTAATTATTTGAACTAAGTAAAAAAAATGGAAGAAGTTATAGCAATTTATTGTTGCTACATTTTGCGTCATTGGTGGGGGATCCGAGGATTTTGCACTGTGTTTATTTCCCAACAAGCCTACTCTGTAAGTCCATAAAAATAAGCAACGGAGCTTAGCCATTGAAATTTCCATAGTCAATTTTTCCCTTTAGCAATTTTATAAGATACTGATATGTTGGGCATTCTGTACAACTTGCTTCGTGATTGAAGTCATATTTAAGATTGTATTTAGTATTAGTCTTTACACAGTTATTGCACTTTTTCACTAGTTTTGGGCATTGTCTTATATTATGTTCCTCACTACAGTATTCACACACTGTTTTGTTTGTACAATTTGTGTTTTTATGGTAATGCTCTTGGCATTTAAAGCATCTCTGGATGCTCAAGTCTTCAAACACCTGATATCGCTCCCACTGCATAAAAACTTTTTTCTTCGTGATTAATTTAGCAAATACGTCAGAGGAACATTCACCAACAATAGTTTTCAGTCCGGTTTTGTGGTTTAATCTTACAAAGGTAATGTTAAGTTGGTCTCTATCTGTTATAAAACAATTTTGTTCTCGCAAGCATTGCTCGATCTCTTTCAAAGATGATTCACCCTTAAAGCCTACAATTTTAAATCTCGGAGCTCTCATCTTAGTAATCTGTATTTCATAGTCTTGAAGTTTATTTTCCATATCCATTTTCAATTTTTCCACTTCACTCTTGTTAGTACATTTTACAATCATTCCCCCGTTTTTAAGTCCGTGTGTGTTTTTTATACCAATCTTCAACTCTGATGGTTTAATATGTGTTTGAATGTGCTTAGTTGTAATCTCAATACTTTGATTTAAATCTCAATACTTTGATTTCTTTTATTTGGCCTTATAATTAAACTGGGAACATTCTCAGTATTTTTAGTCTTAGATTGCAATACTTCGCTAAAGCTTGGAGAAGCTATTTTTTCCTCATTTTCCAATTTATTATTCAGTTCTTCTATTTTCTGTCGTAGTAGAACAATAATATCTTCCTTGCTATCAATTATGGATATTTTATCTTCTATAGTTTGATGTAATAAAGAGAATGTATCAAAACGGATGCATTTGGGACAGTAAAATTTCATTACTCTTCCGTTTTTTAGATCCAGAACTTTAATTTCTGAAGCAGAAAGTTTGCTACATTTTGCACAAACATGTTTAGTACATCCATCACAGGAAAAAAGCTTCAAACTTGGAGTCTCTTCTTATTGCACACATCACATTCCATAATTATTATCCAAACAAAATTATTTTAATCACTGACTTGGCAACCATGCAGCCTACCCAACCACCTGTTATTGTTTATATTCACAATTTTTGCAACAAAAACTTCACAAAAACTGCTGCCTTTACGTCTGCCATCGGAATATGACCCATTTATTATACAGGGTGGGCCAGCGAAAACGAAACAAGGTCGATATCTTGTATTC